ACAGCTCGCAGATCACTTTTCCCTGGCCTCATCTTCCTCCATATTTTCTGAACAGTTCTTGTCCCATAAAACAACCACTGAGGCTTCTCCACCATGCTTTGATACTGATCTTGTCCTGGAATACAACAAAGACTTCACTTTCGAGGAACTAGCGTGGGCTCTGAGTAGGGTAAGTGGTTCATCCGCTGGACCAGACGACGTAGGCTATCCTCTTCTCAAAAATCTTCCCCTAATCGGTAAAACTATACTTTTGTCTATGTTCAACCAAATATGGGATCAGGGAGAAATTCCCACTGACTGGAAAGAAGGTCTAGTTGTTCCCATCCCTAAACCCGGAAAAGACAGGAATAATGCAGACAGCTACCGGCCTATCACTCTATTGAACTGTATTGGGAAGGTTTTTGAGAAGATGGTAAATAGACGAGTAAATGGAGTCCCAAGGCTTACTCGACAATCGCCAGTTTGCTTTCCGTCCAGAAAAGTCCGCGGATGATTACCTTACGGAGCTAGAGGATCTCATTGATGGATACCTTGAAAGAGGTATGCATGGTGACTGTGTTTCTCTGGATCTGTCGAAGGCTTATGATCGCATGGCGTTTTCCCATCCTAAAGTCACTCGAAGAATGGGGAATCAAGGGCCGCATGCGTCACAACGTTCAAAGTTTTCTTGACGATAGGAGATTCAGAGTCATCATAGGAAACAACCGATCTGAGGTCAGGTCTCAAGAGAACGGTATCCCCCAAGGTTCAGTAAAGGGTGATACGGTCAAAATTTGGTCAATATCAACTTGACGTATTTCTTTCAATTTTGCATTTAAAAAACCTGAACACCCCTCATTTTGAAGGTGTGTGTGTGTAGAATGTTGCTCCTATTTTGATTTTGGAATTCACTCTTCAGTTGTCAAAATGCCGTCCAAGCAAGAAGAGCAGCGTATCAAAATTTTGCTCGCGCATCGCGAAAATCCGAGCTACTCGCACGCAAAGTTGGCAAAATCGCTAAAAGTTGCCAAATCAACCGTTACAAATGTAATTAAAGTGTTTGGGGAACGTTTGTCGACAGCCAGGAAGTCTGGATCGGGGGGAAATCGAAAACCGGAAGCCGCTGAGACGACAAAGAGAGTTGCCGGTAGTTTCAAGCGAAACCCTAACCTCTCTCTCCGAGATGCCGCAAATAAGCTGGGTGTATCGTCTACAACCGTGCATCGAGCCAAAAAACGAGCCGGACTATCGACTTACAAGAAGGTAGTGACTCCAAATCGCGATGATAAACAAAATACGACGGCCAAAGCGCGATCCTGGAGGCTGTACACGACGATGCTGACGAAGTTTAACTGCGTGGTAATGGACGACGAAACCTACGTCAAAGCCGACTACAAGCAGTTTCCGGGACAGGAGTTTTATACGGCAAAAGGAAGAGGAAAGGTAGCAGATGTTTTCAAGCACATGCAACTGTCAAAGTTCGCAAAGAAATATCTGGTTTGGCAAGCCATCTGTACCTGTGGCTTGAAAAGCAGCATTTTCATAGCTTCCGGGACTGTCAACCAAGAAATTTACGTGAAAGAGTGTTTGAATAAACGTCTGCTGCCTTTCCTGAAGAAACACGGTTGTTCCGTACTGTTTTGGTCGGATTTGGCATCTTGCCATTACGGTAAAAAGGCCATGGAGTGGTACGCCGCCAACAACGTGCAGGTGGTTCCCAAGGACAAGAACCCTCCCAACACGCCAGAGCTCCGCCCAATTGAGAAATACTGGGCTATTGTCAAGCGAAACCTAAAGAAGACCAAAAAAACTGCTAAGGGCGAGCAGCAGTTCAAGGCAAACTGGCTTTCTGCGGCGAAGAAGGTGGACAAGGTGGCTGTACAAAATCTGATGGCAGGGGTCAAGCGTAAGGCCCGGCAATTCGGATTTGGAAAAGCGGAAGCCTAACTGAATATTTTTCCTGAATTTTATACTAATTGAACTTGAAAAAGAAATTTAATTTGATTTTTTAAATAAACGATTTCACCGATTTACACGCGTTTTCCCTTGACCAAATTTTGACCGTATCACCCTTTAATCGCACCCACACTCTTTCTCATCTGTATGCAATCCCTTTTTGATAATATTCCCCCCAATGTCCATATACTGGTTTATGCAGACGACATTACCATCATCACTTTCAATATTTTCAAATCGTTAGCCAGAAAAAGGATTCAATCCGCAGTCAATAGTGTTGCCAAATGGGCTGATGAAAGAGGTTTCATCATATCCCCTGAAAAATCCCAACTCCTCCATATTAGTAGCAATAGGAAAAAGCATAGCAAACTACCCCAACTTACCTTAAACCAGACCACAATAGAAGCAGGACAGACTCTGAAAATCCTTGGAGTTTACCTTGACCGGAGTCTCAGCTTTAGACACCACGCAGACGTTGTTCGGAAAATCACCGAGCGGCGGCTACAGGTCATTAGGACGATTGGGACAAGAATTCCATGTGCACATAGAACATCCATCATGCAAATAGTTAACGACTGGCTTCTGCCCAAAATCTTCTACGGTGCAGGTTTTTTCAGCATAGGTGGCGATATCATAACCAAAAAGCTACGTCCGTTGTACAACAAGGCTTTCCGATCAGCTTCCGGAGTTTTCATCACTAGTCCCATATCCGCTATAATGGCCAAATGTGGTCAGCTCCCCTTCGAACATTATATAACAGTCTGCGTGGTGACTAAATCTATTCGATGGTTAAGTCTGAAAGGTAGTCAAGAAGCCCCCTTAGTAGCAAGAGCAAACGATCTGTTCAACTCCCTTACCAAACTAAATCTCCCTCCAGTTGCAGTGTTACACAAAACCAAAAACAGACCTTGGAACCGACCACCTCCTAAGATAGATCTCTCTCTTCTCCGAAAAGTAAAAGCAGGTGATCCCCCGTTAAAAATACAACAACACTTTAACAATCTCCGTTCAGAAAAATACAATAATTACTTCCACATCTACACCGACGGTTCCGTTTCTAATGGAAAGGTTGACTATGGTATCACTAGCGCATTAACCAGTATTAGTTCCTCCCTCTTTACATCTTGTTCCATCTTCAGTGCCGAAGCTTATGCCCTCATGAAAGCTTCCAACTTGAACCCTCCACAGTCTGAGAATCCAACTGTTATCTTTAGCGATTCAGCGAGCTGTCTCCGCGAAATGGACTCCAGTTCCATGAAACATCCTTGGCTCATGTCAGCAGAAACATCCTCCATAGCTAATCACGTCTCCTTCTGTTGGGTCCCCGGTCACTCTGGTATCCGAGGCAATGAGGAGCCTCCAAACTAAATCACATGCGGTGTCCCACTGTCCATACCCCACCTTTTGTTAGATTGTAGAGCCTACAGTACCGAACGTTTGACTTATAATCTAGATACAACCATAGAGGAAGTTTTATCACCACCCACTGAACAGAAGCTGCTGGAGTTCTTGAAAGCAACCAAATTTAATTGAAGCAAACAGGGACGAATGACCGTTTACGGTTAAAGTCCCGTTAAAACAAAGACACACACGCCTTCGCATTAGTTGCGATTCACCCATTCAACGGTAAACAACCAGGAGGCATGACTGGTCGTGGCAAGGGTGTCAAAGGATTTGGTAAAGGAGTTGCCAAGTGCCATCGTGTGATAAAATCCATCATCTTTTTGCAAGAAATCTTCAGAATCGTCACCAATCTTCTTTGTATCTACTCAGCGTGTGTGCAGCTAACCACACCAAAACAAAATATTTCCTGCATCGTAGATAGAGTCACCTCCCTCTCTTGATATTGTGCTTCCAGAGATTAATTTCAGTTTAACGGATTCATTCCAGGAAGAAAAAGTTCCACCTCAGCCTTCAAACAAACAAGGCTTCAAAGAATCGCCAGCAAAAATACTTCAAATTAGTCAATGCTCAATTTCATACTGGCGGTAGAAATGTGACAGCTGCGGTTTAAGATTCGCAATATCTATCAATGAAAATTTTCTACGTGACAACTAAAACCGCCACTCATAATGATCAATCTCACCCCGGTCATCAATTTGCCCCCAGATTGCGGTACTACAATTATGGAACCACGCTAATGGAGTCCACGTCCTACATCTCTCCAGCCCGTATGCCGTTGCATAAATAATAAAGTGTGCTGCAGAATTTAATTCGGACAACAACCCTTGAACCAAACACGTGGGCTTGAATGGTGTGAACTCCCAACCAATTATTGGAATTTCTAGAGAACAATACTATTGAAAACCGCCCCAAATGAAACCGCCCTATTGGCGGTTGGCATACTATTTTGCACATACATATTTAATATCGCATCACGGCCACTCTGCTAATCCTTCCGGAAAATTCCAGTCACGAACTGTGTGGGCCACTGTAGAGGGTGTCCAATCGTGTGCGTGGGAGTGAATGTCGTTTCATATGCATTGAAATTTCGAGAATGTAAACACCAAGCTGCTTAGCGGAGTATGTTTCCGACAAACAAAAAACAGTGACAAATGGACCGCACGGGCCCACGTGGCTCGACGAATATTTATGTTTCACCACCGAAATGCATTTACTTATTCCGCGAGTGGGCTTTTCGGCTTCCACAAGAACCACAGTAAAATTTCAGTACCTAGGGTAAATAACAGCTTCGGCTCCCATTGACTGTTTTCGGCATCTACAATGTATACGCTAATTTCACTGCATTTTCTCACCAAAACACTTCGCGGAATGAGTTCAAACAATTCCTTAGACTTTCAACTTCAATCTGATTATATTTTTTCGACTGAGAAAACGCATTTTATCAGATTTTTCTTGAAATAGAACATATACACTACAAAATGTTGCTGATTTCGAGTTGCCGATAATAGAATAGCAAATCAACAGGCAGTTCGAATGGATCGGTTGCCGACAACAGTCCCACTTACCTCAGAAGTTTGGACGCTGCTTGGATTTACGAGAATACATAAATTCCCCCACATATGGATTATTGATTGTTCTATTTTCTCTTCGCTTACTTTCAGGCCAACGTATCACCACAATCCAGCTGGATGGCGTCCAGTACTTTGTAAGCCGGATGAATCCCTACTCGCCGGAGTTGAATTACTTCCTTGCCTACCAGTACTGCCGTTCGCTTGGCCTGCAGCTGGCGTCGTTTGAAACCAAGGAGAAGGTCGAATCCATGTCCCAGTACTTGACGAATGCTGGTAAGTGACACTATTTTGTATCATTGAGAGGACGCAGTTTTCGGTGCAGCGATTAAAGAGCCAGTAGTGGAGGAACTAAGATATATTTTTTTTAAATAAATAAACGATGTACCGTAAAACGAGGTATCTTTGATAATGTGGGTAACTTTGATAGTAGAATATAATGATTAAATTTACGCTCTGCACTATTTCCGGATAGAAAAAATTGGTTCCATTTTGTAGCTTAGGGTATTACCAAATATATCATATTAACAATATGATCCAATGATGCCTTTTTCATACATTGCAATGGCGACCCGAAAAATATTGCTTCACGCACCATCTAGCATTGGAAAAGGTCATCAACAATCATTCAATTACAATCAAGGGGCACGAATTCAGCACTTATTACAAAAATAAATGTCAAATTATTTTCTTAATTACATTTAGTATATTACATGAAAATTTTTCTGACATGTCACTGTTGTAGATTTGTAGAAAAAATTCCAATCGATTGGCTTGTTTAGAATTATAATCCATCCGCTATTGACAGAGTTCTAAGTGGCCAAAACCTGACCACTTTTCGTAACGCTTTCGATTTTGTTTTTTTTTAATCCAATATGTTGCCGAAAGACGTAATCCCAATATGCTGAGTTATATACACTTTTTTTTTCCTCTGTTCGGGACATAAAACTACTGCGACCAGTTATTTGATCTATTGTAGTATATCCCGTGTCCTTAGTTTAGTGCATGTTGTATTACTTCATCACTATTGAGAAATAATGAGGTATTCGGTTTTGATACAGTTGTCATTCTTGCCTTCATCGCAAGGAATCGATTCTAATTAAAAGGTCCCGCTATTTATACGCTTCAGAGTGTTGAAACACCCTCCAAAGGCGCGCCCCTTTGTCAGTCAAAATTGGGTTCCTTAGCAACAAAATTAAAAAATGACACTGATAGTGACCATGCATCAGAACCCTAGTCTTAACCACTTCAAACTAGAGAACAACGAATAGAAGATTAGGAATGACATAGATGAAGAATAACTAACTCGTTTTTTCCTTGTTTCAAGATCATCCTCGGTCCAGGCAACCCAACGACTTATCACTATCAACAAGGCATAATAAGTAACAAGGACTAAAATGTGTTTCTTTGATTACTGAAAAATTCTGTTCCCCTAGTTTGAAGTAGTCACGACTAGGAATCGGTGGTAGATCTTACATCCCGTAACGTACCACGAAAAGGTGATCTACCCACGTTACATACACTTAAAATAATATACAAATTTTCATTTGGCTTACCCCTCGTGAAGATATACAATGCCGTCTTCTTGTTGCTTGTGATGGTTTTGATTATATACTCATTCAAAGCTTCATATTTCTTGAGCTAATTGTTTGAGATTCTTGCATGTTTTTCTACATTCATCGAGTAACACCAAAACAAAACAAAAAACTGGTGGCAAAAAAAAAATTGTGCAAATGCTATAATTTCCGGTAGACATTTTTTTAACAAATTTGACAGAACTACAAATATGCTGCATTTTGCGTGTACGTAAAGACTGGAGCGCGCAAAAATTGGTCGACAAAAAATTGTTTCTTTCAGTCAAAATTCATATTACAAAAATCTTCTCATTTTTCTTTTGGTAGTTCAATTCATATATTTAAAGGAAAAAATGTTCGTTTATTTTTTTTTTTTGGTTTGCCAAATCCAAACTGCCATGCCTTTTCGCTTAACCACTTCCATTAAATTTAGCAAAGTAGTCTCATCGACCTTATTCGCCGCCGAACGCCAGTTAGATTTAAACTACTGCTCGTTTTCCATGGATTTATTAGTTTTTTTTTTTATATTCCGTTTGACCAAGGCCCAATACCGTTCGATAGGGCGGAGTTCTGGGCTGTTGGGAGGGTTGTGGTCATTGGGTACCACAACCACGTTGTTCGTATCGTACCACTCGATTGCCTTTTTCCCATAGTGACAGCTCGCCAAGTCCAGCCAGAACAGCACAGGTCTATTATGTTGCATTAGGAATGGTAGCAGCCGCTTTTCCAGACACTCCTGGATGACGTAGATCTCTTGATTGATGGATCCCGTAGTAATGAAAATGCAGCTTTTTAGACCACACATTCATATGGCCTGCCAGACGAGATATTTTTTTCGCGAACTTCTATAGTTTGATAATTTTGAAAATTTCAGCCACCTTCATTTTTCCTGATGCGGTATAAAACTCCTGTCCTGGAAGCTGCTTGAAATCCGCTTTCACATAAGTTTCGAACTTTGTGAGCAGATTCGTATACAGCTTTGGGGACCGCTGTTTTGCCGATGTGTTTTGTTTGCAATCTCGGTTCGCCACCTTCACCTTCTTAAACGTCGACAACCCAGTGACCATGCTTGGCATACACAGTTTTGGTCACAAACTGCTCATTTGCTAATAACTTTGCACACAGTTGACGGAACATAGTTCTTTTTGAAGCAGTAGATAGAATAGAGTGTAAGCTTGTTAAAGATATGTAAAAAAAAAGTAGATTTTAATGCTAGTAGTAAACTGTATTTGTTTTTGCGTTGTAAAAATGAGGTGAGAAATGCTCACTACACATCTCGGAATTTAAGTGTTAAATTGATTAGTGTTGATTCAAATATTAAGCTTTAATAATCTTCGCATATCTATAGTAAACTATGAGCCTAATCTATCAATTACTTCAAAGAAAAATAAATTTCAACATCTGAGTGAAAAGTCATTACCAAATGAGCAGTTGGTGTGTACAACTGTGCATGCCAAGCATGCCAGCGACGTCCATGATGGAGAGGTTAGGATTCCGCTTATATTTCACCGCCACCTTCTTGCCGCCGCGTCCAGGCTTCCTGGTGGTCAACAGATGTTCCTCAATCACTTTTAAAACGTTTGTCACGGTCGATTTGGCCACATCCAGCAAATTTTGCCAACTTGGCGTGTGAGAACGTCAGATTCTTTTGCTGCGCGAGCAAAATTTTGACACGCTGCTCCTCTTGCTAGGACATCATTTTGAAAACTGGAGAGCAAACGGTGAAAACTCATCATAGCAACCATTGTATGTACACTCAACTACCAAATGCAGCATTTCAGGTTTTTTTTTAAATGCATTTTTAACAGAAATACACAAATTTGAAGTTGACCAATTTTTGCGCGTTCCAGACTTTAATACCAAATTATTGGAAGTGCTTGCCGGAAATTGACGGACTAGTTAAAAATGGGCAACTAAATAGCACATTTATAATTCGAAATTTCCTAAATGCCCCTAATTTGGGCCCATACATAAATTCAGCAATCGTCTAAATTTTCAATAGCAATCAAAAATATCCATTAGTACCGTCCCAATGACGCGTTCATCTAGATAAAATTGATAAATAGCAGATTTTTAGGCCCAATCTTAGATCCATAGGCCAACATTAAAGCCAGGGATCGGGTGCTACTCAATTTTTTGCGAGTAAAACACACGCTGTTGCGAGACTGCACTTTCATTTCCAAAGAGAGGTGAAAGAGCATTTTAAATCGTGCAGCACATTTCATTCTTCTTGTGCTGGAGAGCTGCCGCTCCAACGGTGTTAAGTCTCTTTCTCTATCTCTTTGTTTCTCCGACAGTGTAGGGCTTTTGATCTAATTTCCGTCCTACTAAGCACAAACCGCGCTTTATCTCTCTTTTCTGAACGAGTTTAAACAAAAAATGGAATAGGGTAGAGAACTACTTCGGCCTAATCGCCCATTTTGGGCCTATCGAGCAGAAAACTTCAAATAAATCCATGATTTCAGAGTTAACAAGTCAATTATGCGTTTGGTACGATACTTCAGTTAATAAGCTACCGAACGAAGTCAATGAGAATGCGTGGTATAAAGGTTTGCACCCATTATACCCAAAAACAAAAGAAGCGCTCCGACCGAATCAAATTTTATCTTCATCCGATAGGCCGAAGTGAATTCAGTGGCGTTTCAATGGCGTTTCAATGCGTTAGGTCGAGTTTAGAATCCGTAGGCCGAGTTTGGCGTCAAGAAGCAGTGTTAGATTTTGGACAATATCTCAACGATTGTTTTCTCTTTATCAAATCTACGGAAAGGTAAATAAATTTGGAAGCCATCAGTAATAATAACATTCCGTTTGGTGCTAAACTGCGTTATATTAAGAAAGACTAAGTGCGGGTTGTGCTTAATAGGGCGGAAATGGGGTAGTTAACCCTATGTCTGTCAAAGATGACTTGCAAATTTATTCACCTTTCCATACGTACCGTTGGATTTGATATAGAGTCATACATTGTTGAGATATTGTCTAAAATCTAACACTGCTTCTCGATTCTAAATTCGTTCTACGAGTTTCAATTCCGTCCTAACGCCATTGGATTTTCTTCGTCCTACGGATAAACGTAGAAAAAGGGGATTAGCTAGGAGCGCTTCTTTTGTTTTGAGAACAATGGGCGTAAATATTCATACAATGCACTCTAAAAGGATTTATGTTGTAACTAATGAACTAACGCATCGGAACAAACCTATTATTGATTTGTGCACGGTTAAATAATTGATATTATTGATCTTTTCTGATCGATAGAACGGAAATGGGCGATTACGACGAAGTAACGCTCTACCCTACTTTCTCTACACAGAAAAAAAATCTGAATTTTAACTATGGCGTAAAATCCCCCTTCGTTTAATTTTGAGCTATACTTGGCATAAACAGCAAAACCGTTTATAAGCTTGCATACAGTATTGATAATTTATGCGATATTGCGCTTAAATTTACACGAAAAATCGCGTAGATTTATGCCCAATCTAGCTTTAATTTTATGTACGCTATATCTCGCAGTAATTTACATGAATTTTTCGAACGGTGTATAATTGTAGCGTTGTAGGATAGCTAGCATCAGTGCTGTTAATTTTATTGAAGATGAACCAATACAACTTTTCTATCGATTATGTGAAAAAGAATTCTCTAGTGCCCATCATTTCAAGAGCCCCTTTCACATTCGAGCCTCATCGTCACTGTCAATTGAGTCACTCA